TAAATGGACACAGATTGAAAGTTGGGGAATTTTATTAATCTGAGTTTTGGCTAGCTTTAAAAAAAAAGTAAATAGTGTCAGAATGCTGTAAATTTACTCAACTTGCCTTTATTTTCAGAATTCTTGAAATGTAGTAGATACAAAAACCTCATCTTTTTGTAGCTAGGAACTGTATAGCTAAAGTCATAATATTGTAAACAGATGACATAAAAGACATCTTCCAAAGAATTGGGATCCTATTTTCTCAGAACTTTTAATGAAAATGAAGCATCTATATCCCACCAGCTGCATTCAAAGTCTCAGTTCAGTTGACATTAAAAAGCTTCATTGGATACTCAAATATAGAAGGGGATTCTCGTATTCTTTGGGGAGTTTCAGTCTGCTAACCCAGCTCATCTTGTGTGGCTGGGAGAAAAAGCAGAAGCCTGACCATTGTCTTTCAGCGAGCAAAAAACAAGAGTGGCTTAATCTGGAGTGATTTGCTGTGCTGCAGTATTTGCTTTATGTAGCTGCCCTCATCCATCCCTCCTGCCTCTCTGCATCAGTTTATTCTCATCGCGCAATGCGTGTCTTCACTTCAGCTTGAAATCCCCATTACCACTGAGGAAGTCCTGCTTCCCATGTTGCTTTTGCATGCCTGTCCTGGTCCTCATTCGAGTAATCTTGCTCACTTCACTAACCCTAAGAAAGTGGATATTTTTGAGCCATGTTATGATGTTAAATCTTCTCACCAAAGATCTGGTGAAAGTCAAGAAAGATGGAAGGGTACAACACCTGGGTCAGTTTCCTTGTTTGTCTTGAAGACTTCAGTGACTGCAGTTTGTGGTTCAGAACCTCAGATGCTGAAGTGAACTAAAGCAGTGGAGTAGGAAGCTTCTGTCCAGAGCAGAAACTGCCAGTGTTAAAAGAAAACAAACCATCATGTTTTGTTTTTTTATCTGTGGATAGGTGCTGTATGGCATGAGGAAGAGTGCATGCTGTTACCACCTTCAAAAAAAAATCAAAAATCAAAAGGGTTGTCAAGAGGTTTTTTAACTTTTTATCATAGGCTGAATTAACAGTTTCTCTTCTGCTACGATTAATGTTTAATGTTACTATCTGCATAAATGTTTGTTTCGAAACTGTTTTACAAAATAACATAGTTACTAGCAGAGTTTAAAATATTGCTGCTACTCTGCCAACAAAATGACAGCACTAAACATCAAAGCTAGAATTAAAATATAACCAGTGACAAATGCATTCAAAAGGCTGTCAGATGAGAAGGAAATGCGTTCATAAGATTAGGTAACAACAACTGTTTACACAGTTCTGAAATGACTGTAAACAGTCAAGTTACCAACTGAATAATTAAAAGCAGGTTATTTGGGAGGATGCGCTTAAGATTTTTGAAAGGAAAATACATCCAAGTTCTTGACTGTGAAAATGACAGGGTGATAAATGTGTATGTGATAGCAGTTAATTGAAAGACATTTGCAGTATAGATAGAGCAAGCTTGAAGTGTTTGAAAGGTAGCTTTTAAACCTGGGGTTTCCTTCCTGTTCTCTACACCACATGGAACAAGTGAGGACAGCAGCAATAAAACTTTTGTCAGCAGAGAAGACATAGATAGAAAAGTTTGTTGGTTTAAAAAAAAAATAAATGAACCAGTACTGTTGATCAAAGTAATCAAAGAATGTTGCTAATAACCTCCTCCTGGCAATTAATGCAGCTTATTCATGACTGGTAGTCTGAGGAAAGACAAGGAATTCTCCTATGCTTTCCAAATGTCAAATATACCTTTTAAGGACAGACCAGCCTCAACCATTCTAGTTAATATGGTAGGCATCACTAAAACAACAGAATACTCTAAATCAGGTTTGGCGACAGCATTGTGGTAAATAATTTGCCAGAGCATTATAGTTTTTATTACCTTAAGTGATCAGTTATTTCGTTTTTGGCTCCAATCCCAGTTCAGCTGAAGCCAATGAAAAGCTTGCCACAGACTTTGATAGTACCAAAATCAAATACATCATGTCTCACATTTTCATGAACTGTGGTGAGGAAGTGCACTTCCATTTGGTATTTTGGTTTTGCTCTTCTAGTGAATTCACAAAGAAAAATAAAACCTAACAAAAACCCCCCAAACAGCAGAAATACATACGGCTTATAATAACATTCATCAGAGGACTTGATAAATCGAATAGTAGGCTTTCTTTTTTCACTGAAGGAAAAAAATGGTTTATTTTTCAATTGACAGAGCCAGAGACCACTTTTCTGACCTGCTCTTAGCTAATGAACTGTCCTGATGTATGAAAAGTTCCATGCTGTAAGCTTGTATGATGCTGAAAAGGCAACACAGGATGTTTTTGGACTATGTTGAAGGTGATGGCTAGCAGCATGTATTGTGACAAGTTTGAACCTGTTCTGAGAAAAACAGAATTTAAGTACTACATAATTTTCCAGTTTTGTTTAGACACTTCTGTTTTCAATTGTCATAGTAAGTCTCTGTTAATCACTTAAAATCCACTGCCTTTTCTACTGGCCCTTAGAAGAAAGTCTGGAAGTCAAAACACTGATTTACATGGTGTACGCAAAACAGTTTAAACTTGCTGCTGCTTTGCTTCTCAAAAACTACTCCTACCTAAGGACATTTACATTTGCTGTTTTTTATATTCTAATAGCAACTGCATTTTCAAAGGAAACCACAAAAAATTTAGAAACAAGGCAACACTTCTGAATTCGCAAGTCACCATAGTCTAACTCTTGTTAAGTTTTCCTCTTCTAACCCTGATGAATTGGAAGCTCTAAAAGAGAAGATACAAGGTAAGAGGGCCAAGAGTCAATGTATAAAAGAAGAAAAGCAAACTCAACTCAACTGCCATTCAAAGGAATTTTCTCCCTTTACAAAGAGAGGTAAGTTTGTTATGTTCTACTAAATTTATTACAGTCAAGATTTTTGCTTGCATTCAATGGAATAATTTGCAAATGATTTGTAGGAATAGTAGAAGGATTAAATTTCAAACTACTAGCTTCTGTATAATTTCTGTTGTTTATTTACAACATGACTTTGCCAGATGTGTCCACCACTGTAGTAACATTAAAGAATCTCTGAACTCTCATAAGCTCTGTGAAATCCCTTTCCTTGAAAGTGCTCCTATCCCATTATATTTGTCATTTTTGAGGCCCAGGAAAAATTAGAGAAAAGTGTGCTCTATAGCTCAAGATACACATTAACAAATCTAAAAATTGTTAGCTAAGTGAAAAGGAAACATGGTAGAAATGTTTTTGCAAGTTTGTAATTCCATAGCTTCATCATAACACTGTATTTTCAATATCAACCGTAATCTTGCACAGTTCACTTATATCACTCTTACAGAACAGTAACCTCCAAGAACTTGAGAATACTTTTACCAGTAGGGCAAAAGTGAGCTGAAGCTTTCCCAAAAGAGGATTCCCCCATCTGTCAAGAAGAAAGAAGCCAATCTGATGCTGAAGCTTTAGGAATAAGAACATAGTCCGATGTCCACTGGTAACAGCCAGGCTGTGTTTTTCAAAGGGCAAGACCTTGTGTAGCATTTTCAATGTACCCTCTTTATATTCCAAGATTAAGAGCACTTTCTTCTTTACAGAAGCATTTAAAGATTAAAAATCTCACAACAATCCTCAGCATCTCATCATAAAATCATAAAGTTCAGTGTTACATATAAATATCCAACCTTTGTCATATAAAGTGCATTTTAGGCACCAAATTAAAATAACACTTGCGCGGGTGTGTGTGAATTTGTGGCTTAAAAACCCCTTTATTACATGTGTCCAACTATATAGCTACTGTAATACCAGAAAACACCAGCCCCACACCCTCTAATTTGGCTTCCTGGGGCTATGGAAAGCCTTTTCTGCTATTTGACTAGCAGGTGAAGAGAGAGCAATGTTGGTCTGTGACTTGCTCAGCAAGATCCATACGTCACATCATGCTGGGAGTTGATATTTTAATAAGATGTAAAATTAAGGGTGGCTGTAAGTGAATGTACAGAAATTGTGTTGATACAGTTAACAACAACTTGAAATTCTTGACTATTGCTCTGTGGATAGTGGATGTTTATCTAACATGATGCTTCATTCTAGTTCAAGGTATCATTTTGTCATCCCAGTAGGGCAATACATAGTTATGCAAAGTGCTTCTTTGGGGTAGTTTGGCCTTTGATTCCACAAGCTAAATTTCTTTTTCAGCATTTAAATTTTTAAACTGCAAGGGAAACATCTTATGTGAAACCTGGGTACTTTTATAACAAGGGGGAAATATCTGGCCATTTGCTTAACGTCCCCTGACCCATGGTACTTGTCCAGCACGAAATACCAGATCAAAGTGAGTATCGAAACCATCTGATAAAAGTAAATTTCATCTGAATGGGCAATATGCCATGCAATTAATGGTTCCTTTTAATCCAAAATTATAATTGCAGAAATACAACAAAATGAGTAGTGTGTTAAGTAGTAGTGTCTCAAACAAACCAGTGTAATCCAGAAGCAGCGACATATATACACATTTGAAAGATCAAATAATGACATAATTTTCATATTCAAATCTATTACAAGAATGAATAGAAAATTCACACAGCAATGAAGTGAATATATCAAACAACAAAGTAGACTTCTTATGGCGGTTTAAAGTAGTATTAGTCACAAAAAATGGTTAGTGTCAATAAAACCAATTAAATACTGTTCCTTCTAAAGAAAAGATTCAACTATTAATGAAACATCAATAGTACGATGGGATGGCTCAAAGTGCATATGGAAGAGGGTAGCAGTACAAGATGTACTCTTGTGCAAAGAGTAGTCCCGTACAGCCTTTGCAACAGATCACCTCTTCTCCCAAATGGGATTTTTCACTTGTTGCTAGTTTTGTTAAAGATCTTTCACATTTTTGTAAACTGTCTTGCAATATGCAAGGTAGCACACACTTTTTAGAAAAGTATGTTACATTTTGGTAATACCCTCTCCCTGCAGAAGGAGATCTGTGACTAAGGAGCAGGAAGTGACATAGACTTTTTAAGTACCCGCACTCCTCTTGGGGGCCCTGGATAAGGGGGTGGTGGCACGTCGTGCTGTCCATCTGAAGTAACAGCTTGCTCGTAAGTTGGTAGTCCTGAATCATCAGTTCTGAGAGGAAGTGGGTTTAAGGAAAATTCTTCATGCCTTCTGAAGATGCTAGATGAACGTCTTCTACTTCTTACATAATCCAAGTGCCTAATCAAAGGTAACAGCATTGTAAGTGGAAGCTTGTTTAAAGGAACATAAGAATATAGTCTTTAAAAACCAAAACCACACACAAGAAGAAAATAAAACCCAACACCAACAAAACAAAAAAGCCCCACCAAAACCCACTTGCTTTCAGTGATCATAAAGACCAGAAGCTAAATACTCTCCAAACCACACGGTAAGAATAGCTCAGTAGTGTGAAAGTGATAGGGGAGACGAAACACAGAATTCCTTTTGTATTCCTTTCAAGTGGAGGATAAAGGAACAAGCAGGGCTAGAGAATTGGCAGAGCACTTCTTCCAACAGAGTTCATCTCACATCTGAGGTAGACTACATGCCATGAACATACACCCTCCTTTAAAAGAGCAAATATAACACAGTTGGCTTTCCACTGCAGGCCCAAACCTATCAAAATGATTCCATCATTTTAGTACAAATACTTTGGAACCAAGAACATTACAAAAAAAAACCCTCCCAAAGATATGTCAGCAATGTGAGCGTTATTTTATGTTAATAATATTTTTAATAATTTGTGTTAATAATTAGCTTCAGCATAGCTACTGTTAGTGCTCACCTAACTTTGCTTCCAGGAAAGTAAGAACTAGAACTCCCATTGGATTCTCTGACAGAGTTACACCAACCCACAGTGATTTTTAAATTCCACTCTTCAGCAAGAGCTTGTTTTGATGCCTGTTTTTTTAAGCAGTGAAATTCCTTACCCTGGTGGTTGCCTTGATTTGCATCTACTTTTGCAGCAGTAGAAGATAAGCAGTATGATTATAACCAACAGTACTCCAGCAGCAACTAGACTGATGAGAAGTCCTGTAACGTTAATCTTTTGTAGTGTCTCATCACCTGAAGATAAAACATTGGGTATTTTAATTGTGTTCTTTTAATCTACACACTATACAGTATACTCTGTGAAATACTGATTCTGCTGTGCCTTAAGCTTCCAGTGAGAAGCTGCCGCATCTGTGCAACACAACCTAAGAGTATCATTCACGTTCAGCTTAAAGCAAAAGTGAGTACATATTCCCTTTTCTGTACATAAAACTTGATATATCTGTCTTCTAATGCCTTCCAAACATTACTTCATGTACTTGTGACCTTGATCAGGCTGCAGAGCTTCCCTCAAGTTATACTGACCATTTTTTTATAAAACGTCTGTCAAAAGACTACTCTGAACCCGAATCAGGCTGTTATATTACTATTAAAGAAACAGAAACAGAATAGAATATTAAAGAATAGATTACAACAAACAAAACAACCACAGAAAGCAGTCACAGAATTACTGCAAAGTTTACGGATTGTGTAATACAACAAAGAAATCAACAACAAAATTCATGTTGTTTTTACCTACAGATTTGCAACAGATCCCACTGTGAGACACTCGAGTATGTTTTATTGTATCTGATAATGCAATATACATGAACATTTCACAGTGGATTTCAGTAAAAAAATCAATTCTGATTTTGCTAACTGAATGCATGGTGTATTTTAAAAAATGTACTATTAAACACAAAATGTTGCAATATAAGAAAAGAATAAAAGAATAAAAAGATGACTTACCCGTTTTTATTTTAGGGCCTTTAGTTGAATAGTCTTTCCAAAAATCCATCTATAAAACCACAAAGGATCAGATTTATGAGATAAGTAATTGGCAGGCTTACTGACAGTTGTTTTTATTAATATGGTACTACGGGCAGAATTTAGCAATGGCATAAACAGAAGCAAGTGCTGTTGAAGTATTTGTATTTGCTTATTCCACCCTATTTTTCTCATACATTCAAGTCTGCGCAAAAATTACAATTTCGCAAAGAAGAAAATGCCAGCTTCTGGTGAAAGAGCTGCATTTAACCGTCCAAAGGTACCCCATCTTTCTGCCTGATTACAGAAGTTAGCATGTGTTCTGACACTAAAAAAATGTTTACAATTAATCTTTGTAAGTCTCTACAGAAAAATATTAATGAGGCAAAGTCAAGTTCTTAAGAATGAGACATTTGCATGAACAGTATTTGAATTCATATCAGCTAGGAAAAATAATGGGATTCATTTAAGAGAAAAATCTTTGTCACATAACTGTTATGCATTAAATGTGGTGAGCTACGATTTCCATTTTTGCTACCCAGCAAAAGACTCCATCAAAATTCCAATTTAACACTTTCACCTTTTTCTTAGAAAAATGCTAGCAATGGCAAACTAACATTTCCACCTTCAGAACAGAAGTGTATGCCTTGCTCTTTCTGCAGGTTCGTGCAGAGCATGCCTAGAATCACAATGAGATTCTTGCTGCATGTAGCAAGAGCCACTCTTCAGACAATCATCATGTTCCATTATTGGGCTGGAAGGTTTCATGAGTAGCAGGTTTCCAAGCTGTATATAGGTAACTATTTAGAAGATAATGCTATAGGAATACTCAGCAATAGCTGAACTGCAGATTTGCTCTGTTCTCCTCTCTTCTAAAAATGCTTCTTTGGCATGACACAAGGACACGATCAGCCAATTAACACACAGAGCACGTGGAACACATTCAAATTGCATGCTGAGAAGTTACTAAAAAAATAATAAGATTCTGAAAACACATACACATATAGCCACAAGTGATAGGTCTGAAGTTTCATTTATATTTGTAGAATCGGAGCTCTTACCTATGAAGTCTTTAAGACAACAGTACATACTCAGGTGTCTTCACTGTGTATCTAAAGCAAAACCTCATCTAACTGGGGCCACTACTTTTACAGTAAAGTAAGCAATCATTTTAAGTGTATTCTTCAGAAGGGCTATAGTATTTAGATACAGCAATGGTTTAATCAATAATCTTCAGTATATTAAATTCAGTTTCAACAGGTACCGTTTTATCAGGGTCTTCAAAAACTTCTCTTGCTTCTTCATAACTGCACAGCTCTTCAAAGCATTCTCTTTCTAGGTTATCCGCTGTGAATGCTTCAAAATCAAATCTGTTATTCAGAAGATGCCGTCCAATGAATAAATTCGCCTCCTTTGCTGATGTGAACACTAATAAAAAAAATAATGTTGATTTAAAACAAGTTATGAAAGCTAAATTTGGTATTTTTAAAGGATGGCCAATATCCTAAAGGAGTACCTTGAGACCCCTTCCCCTAGCATCTCTCAACTACATACAGGAAAAAGAAACATCAAGATCTCCTAAAATGTCGTCTTCGCTGCTAACTTTTCTAACCACGCAATACAAAATAAACATATTTTCCTGTCTCAAAAAGCATTTCAGCTATTTCTTGTACTATGCAAGAGAATTTGATTCTCATGACAACTCTTCTTCAGTCATTGGTATGATCCCTCTGGGATGTGGCCATCAGTTTTTTACTGGAGCTCTTCAGAACAAAGTAATAGTCACATAAAGCAGAAATTCAGTCAGATGCAACTCTGGCAAGACACTGACCCTACTGAAGCTTAGAGGTAAGGGGGGGGAAATAAAGGGAAAAAACCCCAAACTCTTCCTTCTAAAAAATCCTCAATATACATTTATCAGTATTCTGGTATCTGTGAGTTTCAAATTTTGTTTATGAAAATCGGATTTTAAATCATGGTAGCAGAGTCCTGCTCATTTTACAATTTTCTCTTTTCACAATCATGGCAGGAAGTTTTATGTAAAGGTTGGCATATTGCTATGTTTATTTGTTTTAAATTCATCCATGATAGGAGTTTTACTGACAACAGGCACTTCTGAAGACATTTTATTCTTTTCTTCTTTTGAGGTTATTACAGGCTTCATGAGGCCTGACTGAGTAAGTTGTGAGGTGAGATTCCAGAAGAGTTAGTGAAATTATAGATGGCTTTGGAATACAGGAATGCATTTTCTCACCAGGCATCTTCCATAGTCAAGTTTTAGCCTGCTCCTGCTACAGCTTCTTAAAAAACAAATCTTTATATGACGGAACTAGTCTTCTGGCTTGGTTTTCAGAGAAAACTCTCTCTTTCCAACTCTGTTGTTGAAGAAGGAGTGATCTGGGCCTATTGTCAGGGGAGGGGTCTATGCCATGAACTTATAGGGAAGAGGCAGCCTAACCTTTTATGCCCTAGAGCAATATGGATTTTAATGAATAACTTTAACGAATTTTTTCTGCTAGCCATGTTTTCTGCTCAAAATGCTGCCCTGAAGATGCCTCCTGCTCAATGTGATGACTTTTTAAAGTCAGCGCTCCTGGACAGCCAAGTTACAAATTCCTTTTTGAAACCCTGATGCTTAAATGTTAAGTATCACATGGTGTAGCAACATAGTGTTTGAGTCCTTTTGGGGAACTTTGTTTTTACCTCAATTCCTCTCCACTTCCCTCCCTCCAAAGTGGATAACTGCAATAGCAGCACTATGTTTACCTTTCAAGGTGTTGTAAGGGGATCTGGTATTGAGAAAAAAATACTCATCTCAAAAAACAAGCAAATAAACCCTTCCAAATACAAAGCCATTTTAGATACACAAATACAACTGTGATGTGCTGAAGCAGTACCAAAGCAGTACTGTCTTAATACAGATTTCAAATTTCTGGAATTTTGATGTTACTTAGAGGATGCTGGTTATATAACTGACAATAATCCTACAGACCTAGCAAAAGCTCAGTTGTCCCAGTCTGCACTTACTACTGGATCTGATAAATACTTAATATTGACACCCAAGTCAATTATCAATCATTTCAGCAAAAAGATATTAAAATATTCTAAAATTAACCATAAACCAGCTTATTTTTTTAATGAGGTAAAAAACCCCAACTATTTACATACATACAAAGGTTTCTCAGCAGAAGCAAAGTTAGATACAATTTTATTTTAGGAAGCATAAAATCACAAAAATAGTAAGTTACCATCTTTCCATTCAGGTTGCTTCAAGTTATTTAATCTTGTGCAGTGAGGAAATGCAAATATCATCACATGTAGTTGACACAGCAGTATCAAAAATGCAAACATGGTGTGGTATCTGTCAAACAGAAACTAACGTGAGTTAAAAGATGACAACGCAATCTCGTGAAGTGTCCGTGATGAACCCTGAATGAATCCTATAAATGAAGTCATTCAGTGCAAGCACCTACATGCAGTTGAGGCTAGTGGATCTCTAGATGAAAAGCACCGATCCAAACTGGTCCTGCATGTCTCTTTTCGTTGCATAACACCCGCACATGTCGCCGGGGTCGCTCTCGCCAGGGCCAGGCAATGCCCTCTACTCTCTCCGCCGGGAGAAGCGGCCGAACAGAACCGCAGCTCTGTTACCTAACGAGTTAACGGCGAAATATGACATACAAGGGGCTGCAGGGCCGCTCGGAAACTTCAGAGAGCTACGATTTTGCTACCAGAGCAGCTACCGCAGGTTACTGAAGTTACCCGACGTAAACAGACATACAGAAACCATTTTGTCAGGCTGAAGCCGTTGCCAACCTCCTCACGGCCAGCGCTCCCTAGGAGAGCCTGTGCTATCCCACCTAGGATGACTGTGGAAAGTAAGAATGAAATAAGACCCGAATT